CTTGTAACGGATCGCCTGGCACCCCGACTGGGTACCTCCGTTGAAAGATGCTCCTAGCGCTTCCTGAGGGCTCCAAGCACTGCAGCAGACACCACAATCACCGAACCAGAGAAGCGTATACCTTCTCTCAAGCATAAGAATGCTGTAGACAGTTGAATAGGAACCATATGAATAGGTTTACTCTCCTAGCAATCAAACTGGAACAGCATACAATAAATCCTTCCCCCAATAATGAGACGACACTTCACTTTGAGGGTTAAAACAGGAACTCAGGTGCTGGCACACCCAGCCTGGTTTTTATTACAGTCTTGCAAATACAGGACCGCCCACAGGGAGGTATAAAACAACCAATCACATCACAGTTACATCCCACATATTCCTTCCCCTTATCCTGAGAGGAAACTCAATTATACATACAGTTAAAACATACTTTCTACCCAACTTTCATAACTCTAAAACCATACATCACATTCACATAAAATTACATACATTCACAATCAATCCATTCAGGGGAACAACCATTCAAAAATGGCACAAATCAGACAAGGGGTTCAAAAAGTTAGTAAAAAGTCCTTTGTGACTAAATGAAGCATGGCTTTCTGGCCCAAACCAGTTTCAGAGTCTTCTATCCTGGAGAGTAATTCAATTATCTCCCAGGACAGACACAAGACTCCATTAAGCACATGGTTGCAAAAAGACACAAAACACTTTTAAATACATAAAGTCACATTTATTACATAAAACACAGACATTTCATTGTTGTCCCTCAGGATAGGGGCTGGGATCTGAGCCATTGAAAACTAATAGAAGCCAGGATCCTCCACACAGTTCAATCTCGCCATGGAGCCAAAAAAAAAAGTTCAACTACACGAATGGGCTCCATGGCATAGCTATCTGGGTTAACACATTCACATAAAGTCTGGTCCATAGTCCAAAGGCAAGAGGCGGGCAAGCAGCCCCCTCCAAGGACACGTGGCGAGGCCGGTTTCGCCACAATCCTCTACAGTAACACATAACACATCCCCTACACACTCCACTCCCTGTGAGCGAACTCATGGGTGGAACATGTAGGTGGACTTATGGGTGGGCTTTATGGGCATACTCACCGTCAGGCCCTGGGGCCCAGACCTTGAGCTGTGTAAGAGACCCCAAAAAATGGAGCTGCTTCCCGTTCTCCCAGAACATTGAATTTTGTGACCACAGTTACAAACAGCCTCCAGAGATCCTGTTCTACACCAGACCAGTGGAGCCAGAGCCCATCATCATCCTCATCTGGTTGTAAGTAGGCAATCTAGTATATTATTAGTGACACTAATCTCTAATTTACCTCATATTAAATGGACACTATAATCCCCAGAACCACTGCAGCTTAATAAAGTTGTTCTGGTGTCTATAGTTTGTCCCTGCAGGCTTTTTAATGTAAACACACACTGTGTGCAGCACTGGCATTAGTTCTATGGGTGGGGCATTGCGATGTTCCGGGGGGGGGGAAGGGGCGGCAAATCCTTCTTTTGCCTAGGGCGGCAAAAATCCTTGCACCGGCCCTGATTATATCAACCATGTATACGGAGACTGCACACAGATTAGATCAGCCATGTATGCTGAGACTGCACACAGATATATCAGCCATGTATGCTGAGACTGTACACGGAGATTAGATTAGCCATGCATACTAAAACTGCACACAGAGATTATATCAGCCATGTATACGGAGATTGCACACAGAGATATCAGCCATGTATACGGAGACTGTACACAGAGATATCAGCCATGTATACGGAGACTGCACACAGAGATTATATCAGCCATGTATACTGAGACTGCAGACAGATATTATACCAGCCATGTATACTGAAACTGTACACATAGATTATATTAGCCATATTGAGACTGTACACAGAAATATCAGCCATGTATACGGAGACTGTACACAGAGATTATATCAGTCATGTATACTGAGACTGTACACAGAGATTATATCAGCCATGTATACGGAGACTGTACACACAGATTATATCAGCCATGTACACTGAGACTGTACACACAGATTATATCAGCCATGTATACTGAAACTGCACACAGAGTTTATATCAGTCATGTTTACTGAGACTGTATACAGAGATTATATCAGCCATGTATACGGAGACTGTACACACAGATTATATCAGCCATGTATACGGAGACTGTACACACAGATTATATCAGCCATGTACACTGAGACTGCACACACAGATTATATCAGCCATGTATACTGAAACTGCACACAGAGTTTATATCAGTCATGTTTACTGAGACTGTATTGTCACACCAGTCCATACACAGAGGTTATAATGCTCACATATACTGGGGAGGTGTCTTTACACTATATATCTGTCCTGGTGTTCATATATCTCTACAATTATTGCAACAGAGGTATTATGCTCTATTGCAGGTATTCATTTTCTGTGTTGGTAGTAGGCTGTTTTCCTTAGAACCGTCGAGGTATTGGCTAGCTGTCTCTATTTATTTATACTGTCCTTTGGGTCAAAGATGTTTTCTATTTACCGTGTAACAAGGGTGTACAAGTGGAGATACATACACAGCGCAAGTACCTTGTTACCTATGGCCATATGATTACTTCCTGCAATATTAGAATCGGTTTCCTCCATTACCACTGTTCTCTGAGATTCCTTCCCCCTTATCTGCTATTTCTCATTTTGTCCATTTCAGTTAGTGTATCTGAGGCACAACTCAATAAAGCCTGATTAGATACACATTTACTGATTTTAGTCATAGCCTTCCCTTAGCTACCACTGTACACGATTTGATACTTTATGTTATGTTGTATACAATATTTACCAATTTTTGGAACCTAGTGTTCCACCATTTTGTAGTTGTCTATCAATTGGACAAGAGATGGAGGACTTCCTGTGTGCATGCACACTAGCCATTCTCTATGGGGAAACATTGGATTGGCTGAGATCATCAGTAATGAAAACCAGACAATTCTCACTTAAGTGGCCCTTAAGTAACCCTGACGGTGTCTTAAACTCTCACGCTGCCAATCTGAGTGTAGAGAATGGAGGCTATTTCAAGGGAACATAATTGGGAACCTCTTCATTTACTAACCTTCTAGATTTAACAATGTTCCTCACTGATAATGGTACAAAGCAAAGGAGAAGTATGTGCCGTTACCCCTAAACGAAAAAAATAATTTCTTGATATAAACTATTGATAATGGTTATACAGAATACCAGCAGCAGGAAACAAATGACTCACTCCACCATGGCTCCAGGTGTCAACAGCAATGTTAACATTATACAAATATATTCAGGGCCGGTACAAACCATTGTCTGGAAATCTATTCATAAACAGGGCTATCCATAGGACACAAGGTCACGCATTTAGGTTGGAAGAAAGGATATTTAATCTATGGCAAAGAAAAGTTGTTTTTTTTTACAGTAATAACTATAAGGATGTGGAATTCTCTGCCTGAAGAAGTGATTTTATCAGAGTCCATACAGATGTTTAAACTGCAATTGGATAAATACTTCTAAAAACATAACACACAGGGATATCATTTCTAATTAGTGGGGTAATAGCTGATTGATCCAAGGAGGTATCTGACTGCCATTTGTGGGTCAAGAAGAATTTTTTTTCTTAGTTTGTTGCAAAATTGGAAGCACTTCAGACTAGTTTTTTTGCCTTCTTTTGGATCAACAGCAAAAACATATGTGAGGAAAGCTGAACTTGATGGACGCAAGTCTCATTTTAGCTATGTGACTATATAACTATGTAATGTTCCTCGAATTCTAAAAAAAAAAAACCCCAAAAGATAGCAATTCCGCACTCAAAAGAACTTAATAGAATAAAAAGAAGACATAGCTGGAGTATCCTTTTAGTCTAGATTTATTACAATATCACGAACAGGGCATGCCCACCATAATTCAACAGTGCAAGGAATTGAAGCTAACATATCTCTGCAGTGGTCATCAAAAAAAGGGGTGGTGGACAAAAAAAACCCAAATAAAAAAAACTGGAAACTGAACGCGTTTCACGTCACTATTGGACGCTTCCTCAACAACTTACTGTTAATGGGTTTGGACCAACAGCAGCGAAGTGAAAAGAGTGGAGGTTTGGCTACAAGAGCTTGAGTATTTTTTCAAGCTCAGATCACCATGGTGCTAAGTTTCCCTCTAGAATAATAGATTCATTTTGTTAAACGTTCCATTCACTGGTCTTATGGATTAATACTTCCTGTCATTATATTTGTTCTGAAACTTTTATTTGTAAATCTTCATTTTCTACAACGCTATTCAATGGGGAATGCTAGCTACAAGAAAAATTACTTTTAAATTTAAAACACAGCAATACAAAAGGAAATAAACGGCTTCTGTTGGAGAGTCTATGAAACTTGTTTTTATAAATCTAATCTTTTTCTTTCTTTTTTTTTTCCCTACCAGAGATTGTTCAGATCCTAGTAGCATTTTACCCAAAAAATGAGAAAAGGTTTTTGATTTCTCCATGGAACAGTGTTATTGGAAGAAAAAGGTAAAGATTAGTTTAATTTTTCATTCTTTTTATTCTGGGTTTACATGACGTGAAATTAAAAAAAAAGGGAATGATTTATAGCATATTGAACCGGTGAAATAAAACATGGTTGGAATTTGCGGATATTGTCTAATCTATACTTTAGGTGGATTGCTAGCAAATCTAGAGAGACAATGTAGTTAGTTTTGCTTGCTAATGTTTCAGCTATAGGCATATACAGCACTACCAGAAAGTTGTAACATTAACCAGGGCCAAATAGTAAACATTTGACAAGGGCCAAATAGTAATGGCTAGATGACTGGGCCAGAGCATCTCCGAAATAGGAAGCTCTGTTTTAATGCTATTCAGTGGTTAGCACCTAACAAAAGTGGTGACAGGAAGGACAACCAGTCAGGGTCATGGAAGCCCAAAGCTAAATATGGCATGTTTGGAGCAAAGTCTAATCCATCTGGTCTGATCACACGGAAGTTCTACTGTAACTCAAATTGATGGACAAACAAAATGCTTGCCATGATAGAAAGGAGTCAGAGCACAGAGTGCATTGTAGTTTGCTGTGTATGGGGTCAGAGTGCCCATGATGACCTCTGTCCACTTCCAGAAGTGCCTTCAATTGGGATGTGAGTGTCAGAACTGGACCATGGAGCAATGGAAGAAGGTTGCCTGGCCTGATGAATCAAGCAAAAATCTAGTGTTAAGTACTAGACCATCAGATACAAAAATGGAGCAAAGTATTTACATACACTTCCGTACGAATATACAAAGTAACTAACTCTTCCTTCAATGCTTGTGGTTCATCACACAAGATAGCGACAAAGTCAATGCTGAAAAGAACTATTACTACTATCGTTCTGCACCCTCCCCCTCCCCCTTTGTGAATAAACAGTTAAACACTCTTAACACTCACCTCTTTCCAGTGCAGCGCTTGCCTGTTTTCTACCTTTTAGGTGCAATAGGGTGACTTTCCCTGGTGTCCAGTGACTCAGGCTGATGGGAGTCAGAGTTTCCACTCTGACTTCCTCCTCTCCTTCCTTCTCCCTTTGTGGCACGGTGATTGCTGGGAGGAACTGACCTGGTCAGTCACTTCCTCCCAGCCTCTGACCTCATCATAGGGGGCCCGGTTGTGCTTTTAAAGTGCCGCATCGGGCAGTATTTTACCTTTCTCAGTCTTACAAAAAAAAAAAAGTATAATTTACCCAATTCTTTTATAGTACTGGCAACTGAAACGTCTCATTACAACACGAGTGGATAATGTTAATGAGTTATCTGGTCCACTAGCAATTAATGCTCAAACGATCTATGATAGGTGCTGGTGAATCCCAGGGAGACCTAAAATATTGTCTGAGCGTTATAAAACCCTCATGGGTACCATCCCAGAAAAACAGTTCCCCTTCATGACACAATGGACAACAGAATATGACCAAGCTCCTTCAAATCATAAATGGTTAGCAAAATGCCCTTAAAGGACTAACTCGATGCTATTCACACAAAGAAGCACACAGAAAGTTAATGTATAGGTGGTACTTGACGCCTGACTGGCTTCATAAAATTTGTTCTACTTTACCAGCATTTTGTTGGAGGTGTAGTGTTAAAAAGGGAAATGTGATGCATAAATGGTGGGACTGCTCTGTAATTAAACTGCTCTGGGACACTGTGAGAGAATTACCATTAAACCATGAGTGAGACAGATTCCCTTTGACTAGACAAAAACTATTAGTAGGAACAATCGTCTTAGTTCCTTCTTTTCCTTTCTATGCCCTCCCCCTTTCTAAAGAACACATACATGTCGACACCATGAATTCAATCTCCTGTGTTAGCTATGTTTGACAGAGACTTATATCCCTACAATAAATGATTAATGTTACCACAATAGACCTATGTACATAAAAGTTACTCTATACCATAGGCTTTGTTCTGTAGTTATATGGAATTGTATCTTACCCCTCCTTTCCCTTCCCTTTTTCTTTCTGTATCCTTCTACCATTTTATGAAAACTCAATAAAATTCAAATGAGAAAATAAAAGAACCACTTTGCTGAAGCTGGACCTGAGGCAGGACAAACCTCAAAAGACCGTTGCAAGACAGAAGCTGGACCAGGCACTCAAGGTTTAACGAATAAGCAGATTTATTGAGAGAGTGTACGGCAACATTTTGACCCCAGAGGATCTTTGACAAGCTGGACCATCTTCTGTCTCTCCTCCTCCAGCAACATCATGTGGTGAGCATTAGAGATTCTCCATATGCATTTTTTTGTAAACGTTGGATGTCCTCATGCAAAGCGCGATGACGTCCAATTTAACTTTACAAAGTTAAACTCTGTTAGAATCCAGGAAGTGCCTCTAGTGACATCCACTAGAAGTTGTCTCAACCCTCCAATGTGAACGTTGCCATTACTCTTAAACGGCAATGCTTGATATTGCAGTGTTAAAGGGACAGGGACACTTCACCCAGATCCCTCCAGTGAGATGAAGTGGTCTGGGTGCTTTATAGTGTCCTTTTAATATAACCTGTGATCTCTCAGAAACAACTTTATTAGTATATATTGTCAGCAAGGGATCTTTCAACAGTGTGTAGGATGTAAAAGACAATTAGAATAGGATTTGAAGGAGTGGGTGAACCATACTAAACTCTTAGTTGTGGACAAAAAAAAAAACCTTTTCAAGACTTCCTGTTACTTAACCAGGAAAGACCTGGCAAACTGGACTCTCCTATTTTTTTTTCACACCGTAGGTGGTGGTGTAAATGTTGTAATACAGCAAGTGGGAAGCTCCTTCACCATCATCTGGGAAAACCATGGCCTCCCATCACTCTGCTAGGTTAGTTAACATTCACTTATGTAATTTTAGTTTAGACTTAGGTTCCCAACTTTAATTTTATCTAGCTCTGTACTTAGGTGTGGAAGGGTGTGGGTTTCGACCTAGTAACCAAACTGTCTGCACCTAGAGAAACAATTATTAATGGGAAGTAAATGTCACATCATGCCATGTTCTGTGGAGATGTCTGGCTTTGGCTTCTGGTATCCAGTACTCTTTTAACATTTCTTGTTTAGTTTTTCTGGTTTTCTATTCTGTGTCTGGTTTTCTTTATGCTGGGTTTATCTGGGTTCATTCCTGTAATCCATCCCTGGAATTCCCAGTCTCCTGGATTCATTTATATGTTTGTTTTATGTTGCCACATCCGTTTGTTTTCCATTTTCCTTTTGTTTCAGTCTGGACCTGCAGCAGTGTTTCAAGTCTCTGCCCTTTCCTGCAGGTAAGTGCTATTGTGGTTTAGTATGGTTCTTTTAGCGAACATTAGGCAGAGTAGGACCTGCCGAATATGGGGTACATTGGCGTTGTGGCAGGCTTATGCAATGTATGATCATATAATGTGACTAAATCCCCATACTTTTCATGGAGTGCCTAGTTATGTCTCCTCTTGTTTTGCCTATTATATCTTGTCTTTTATTTTGTTAACCCAGTCCATGTACAGTACTGCCCCTGTTTAGTTAATGTTCCCTTATGTATTGTGTACATGTTCTGGGTTTAGCTTCCTATCCTTCTCTGGTTCTGGGTTCTACTAGTTCTGTCTTGTTTTCATGTTTGGTGCCTGTTCTATCCTTGCCTTGTTTCTGTACTGGATACATGTCTGCTGCAGAGCCCTATCCAGTTCCTGGGAGGTCTGCATATCAAGCTCCTAGTTCCTGGGATCCGCTGTAGCTGCATCAGGATTCTGGTATGTAGCCGCGCAAACGCTGGTGCTCAACACCAGGGGGCGTGTGGTTACCCTGCACAAGGCCCTGATAGTCCACTACCACGCTGAGACTCCCAACTTCTCATCAGGCACTCAGGGGTCCCGGCTTCCATACCGCCACCCTGACAGACTCAGGGGTCCCGGTCTCCGGCCCGCCACCCGTGACAGTAAAGCACTGCTATCTGGACCACGGTTTACCAGAGCTATAGGTACACATCATTTCTGCATGACACCTGCATAAGCAGATTTATTGAGCATTACAATTATATTCTTCAAGCATGAGTTAGGGAAGAGAGATCAGTGATCTTGTGGGTACACATTTCCTGATGAACCTCAATGATCAGCTAGAATGAAAGCGATCACACACAAAAGATTGTTCTGTGACCATTCTTGACCATTATGAATGAATGGGACCACAGAAAGCAGAGAATACTGACACCACTGCACTTTACAACCGCTTAAGAACTGCCCCCCCCCCATCCAGTCATGAATTTTAGTATTGAACACAAGAATGGGCAAAGTATTTTTTCCTCTTGGGAACTCCTACACTGATAACTTCCTTTTGTGAGAACACACGGCACTTCTGCTTTTGTGCTCTCCTCCTCAAGACTGACCTTCTTGTCTGATCTCATTCTTAAAACTGATACTTCAGTCCGTAAATAGATATCCCAGATTCCATTGTGGTTCATCCAACCCCCTTTTTCAAGAACAGTTCCGTCTTCATACAAGTTTTTCTCTTGATCTCTTCACCCCCAGCTATACTAGAACATTCTGTAAGAAGTGACCATTTGGGGTGGGTTTCTGGGTAGGTTGGGAGCCAGCTCAGACTGCTTTAGACACAGGGTAGTTTGAGAAAACACATACTTGCATGGTTACACCGAGATGTTAATTGCTCTAACACTTTGATCTCTTGATAACATGACCCTTGCAACCTCCTTTTTGTATATGTTATAGTAACGATGTACACAATATTTCTTACATAACTCACTTAGATGTTATGTACTCTGACATTCTGATCGCCTAATAACATGCATGGAAAACTGGTTGGCAGGAGAACTGCTGGAGAGATGCAAGCTATTGTTGTTTTGGCTGAGTGCTTTAAAATGCACCTGAAAGCTTTGATAATTAGCACACTGTTATCGAGAAGATGACCCCAGGCTGTGAAACTAGTCACATACATAGTAATATACAATATGGCAGCGTCATGCGTATCAATTTCTTATATTTTACTGGAGTATCCATTATTGTGTAAGTCAACCAAAATCATTATTTTGGCAAAGTGCTGTTGTGATGTTTTTTTTGTTTTTTTTTTTGCTGTTGTTCCTTTTTTAATTCTCTACTGATGGTTTATGCAATCAGTTTATTATGTAACCATGCCAGCAGCTACTCATCTGTAAATGGAGCATTGTATTCGACTGTTATTTATGTCCAGCATTATTTATGTCTTTTTTCCCTGTGTCTTTCTTGGAAGGCCTTTTAAATGCTTGTAATAATATACACTGTATGTACAAGTCTTTTCCTACTCTTATGGGAAGGACTGTAAGCTCTACTTAAACTCCCAGTTGTACATTATTCATAGCAAATGCCGGTATGTATAGTAGGAGCCCTAGATTCTATTCCATCTTTTCTTATCATATTTATGTACCTCTCACAAAAACTCTCGTTTTCCTCCCTGTTCTTTCTTCATTGCTGTCTTGCTCCCACCCATCATATTTTCAATTTCTGTGCTTACCATTATGTAGATCGTTATTTCGAGCCACTCTCCTAATTGCTTACCGGCTTGGCAAAGGAGGCAGCATCACTGTTTATTTCAGGCGAAGAAGATGAGTAATGTGCATTATGTTTCAGTGGAGACAGTGTTCCGTGTTCCCTTGCAGTGACACTCTTGCATGATGGTCACAAGTCAGACGCTCATGTTCATTAGACAGTGTGTGTCTACAATGGAGAAA